CTTCGTCCTGTTACAGGGCACAAACACCCGACAAGAGGAGACGCGCCGTCGGGATGCGCATCGGCGGGCTGCGGGTAGTGGAAGTAATGGTTCAAGCCCAGAACGAGGAGGAGCAACAGTTCGAGACGGAGGCGAATCCGGAACGCCATCACGAAGACGAGCCGCGCCGTGAGAGAAGGATGTCACGAAGTTGTTGTTGTTGTTTTTTTTTTTTTTTTTTTTTTTTTTGGGTTGCGAAGCAACACTTTACGATCGATTTTGACAAATTTTATTTTCATGTATATAAAACATGAAAATAAAATTTGTACACTATAGTAGCGTCCCCATACTGTATTTTTGTTGAGCAGTTTTGACTATTGTTTAGAGCAGTTTTTTTTTGTAGTAGTTTTGTGCAGATTTGCCGAACTGTTTGTATTCTATGTTTTACTATTACCGTAAATAATTCGGTTGTAATGATAAATGGATGCATGATGCATAGATGATGTTATATTATGCATAATGTTTATGATATGCCATGAATCATAATGCACATGTAACTAATAGAATGCATGACAGTTAACGACCCAAAAACTAAGCTACCGCTATCCCCTGCCTAGCATGGGGGGGAGGTCAACAGCATAGCTTTTGAATAATCAACTATCACATGAAACAACACAATCTGTGAAATCTAAAAAAGAGGTCAACTCTATCAAATCCAGTTCAAAGTGGTCGCACACGAGTCACTGAGTGCGCCAATGAACCTTTTGTGAAATGATAGACCTGTGCCTTCTTTTTACAAATCACAGACATGCATTGCTATTGCAATGGATATGGATGAATACACACACCGACAACACACACACATACACACGCACACACACACACAAACATACAAACAGATATACACGACGGCACAGATTCACGCAAACACAAAATCTCAGTGCACGAAGTGTAAAAAGGATAAAACATCAATACAATGCAATCCTACAAGTCATCACTATTATCCACTTCACAAGTAATCTTGGTAGATGTACACATCTGGAATGAAAGTCAAGATAAATCTGGAAAAAAAAAAAAGTAGGCACCGAATGAAGGTGAGGGAAGGAAGGAAGAGGGGAGAGAAGAAAACAATTATCAGAGTGTTGAGGAAATGGAAAGGAAAGCAAGGTAGTTGAGGAGAAAATCATTAAACAAAACAGAATGAGAAGCTAATTGTGGCAAGGTAACAAAATTCTGATGGTGAATCAAAAGCAGAGCAAGGTAAAGAACAGCAAACTCATGCAGACACACCTACAAAGCTTCACAACCATGTCACTGCTACTACACACATACAAACAGATCCACAATTTCATAGTTAGTGATAACTCATTTACCTAGTTAGAAATAGAAATAACACTATCATGGCGTAACTGGATCTACGAACGAATAGTGACTACTTAATCCATGAGGTCGCGAAACCTCATGCTTACCGATTTATGCAATCCCGTATTGTATGCAATCTCACGCTTGCATGTACTGACAGTCACATACCTTCCACACACTCATGAATATAAGCCAAACTATACCCACGAGAATATTACTTTCATTCATTCAACGCGCAAGGTCTTGTCATCTCACGAAAAGAATCGATAGAATGAGAGAGGAAGCTATATAGAAGGTAGGGGTGGACCATTGAGGGGTTTAAAAAAATGACAAACCAGAAACAGGAAAGGGAATCGAAGACAAAAGCGGATAACATAGGCACAAGAAATTGAAGCAAAAGGAACGAAAACAGGCCTAACTAGGACGAATTGACCTCATACCCTAATTCGCCTAGTAAGCTACCTCGAAATGGTCCCCATGGGAAAAACGTTGAACAGAATGTTAGGAGGAAGATAAGGAGAGCAGAAAAAACAAAGTAACATACACGAAGGAACGAAGTATATCATGCAAAAGACAAAAGGGGGAAATGATCTTATATGAAACAAAAAGAATCACTCTATCTCTTCCTTGCTCTCTCATTCAAACAAAGTCGGTAAGGAAAGGAGAGGAGGTTAGAATGTCGATTTCATCTACTAATTTTGCACTCATACTCTCCTTCATATTCTTCTCAACTCTCCTCATGCTCTCTTCTCCTCATGTTCTTTTCCTCATACGCACACGCACTCTCCCTCTCAATCTGTGCCTCTCCGGTATTCTTTATCACATAGTATTTTCGCACATGAATACCCTCTCACCCCCTTACACAATTTAAACTCACCAAGTTCTGCCGACATGCTCGTGCCCTTCTTTGCTGCTGCCGCCGCGGATAATGCGCATGACGCTGAGCGTGGTGCGCGCCTGGCACCAGCAAAAACACACCAGCGCGACTTGCACCAGCTAAACGACGGTAGTGAGAGGATAAAGAAGGGGAAATGAAGAAGAGAGAGAAGAAGGGAGGGAGAATCGAAAGAGAACGGTAAAAAGGAGAGAAAGGAGAAGAGGGAAGGGAGGGAAGAGAGGAAAACACATATGTGAAGGAAAGCAATAAGATGCATTCAAGATAATCAACGCACCGACATAGAAATTAGGCCTTATGAAATGACACCACGTCAGTTTCTGGATAAGACTTCTCTAAACTTAGTGTGAGAGAAAAAAAGAACGAAAACCTGAAAATACGAGGTGGTAAAAACGCAACCGACGAAAAGGAAAAGTAAGGACGATGGATAGAGGAAACGGATGGCAGATTATGCACGAAGAAACGAAACCAAAAAATACAAGAAAGATACGAAGACTTTACAAAGGGCCCTAAGTTTAAACAGCATAGTCTAGCTAATAAGTCAACCTTTTACACAGTTAAGTACGAGATTACTAAAAGCTTGTCTCTATCTAATACTCATCTAACTTAGTTGCAGTTGAGCATAGGGAGTAGTTAGGGGGGAGCTTAGGGCGTATTCCAAAGCACGGACACCATCCGAAGTTGGGCCACGCGGTCCGCAATGTTGGAAATTCGAATTTCAATGTTGCGCCATGCGGTTCGGCATCAAGACACTTTGGAGCTGACGGCCACGTAACATGCGACCGTCTTGCACGTCTTCATGCGACAAGGGGTTTCATGCCATGTTGGTGTATGATTGGCACATTGAACCTGACAGGCTGAGTACGTGACCAGTTACCGTCACGAAACTTTACGCATTCTGACCCGCGCGCTAGTCGGTTGTACAAACTCCAGATCCTCACGACGTGACCAAACGATTTCGCGGCACAAGTTTCACAATTGCCCGCGAAGTCAGAACTGGACGTTTGGCAGGCTACACTGCGACGGGTTCTGGCAGATTCTATTGGGCGCGAAGCAAACCAAACCAGCTCTACGTCAGACGACGCAGACGACCGTTCCGTCCAACCCTGCCACCCCAAAAGTCAAGAGTGGGGGCCTGCCCCACACAGACACCATCCCGAGCCCCAAGAAGTTCGGATGGGGCCACTTCGGATGGTGTCCGTGCTTTGGAATACGATCTTAGGCACTTATGCTTCTCACCTTCCTCTGGTAGGTGGGGTGCTCAGCGTGACCAGCGAGAGAAAAAAATATCACAAACCCTAAGGCAAGTAAACATTCCGTCGCGTCGAAATCTGTTTTTCGATTGTCAGCTCGAATCTGAGACATCTGAGATAGCTTAGTCGAATACCGAATTGAGAGGTCAAAGTTCCAATTCTCACAGTGGTCAGTTTTGCAACTAACAAAACGAAATATGTACTCGGTATAAAAAGTTCAGCAATTATGATAAAGGAGATCCAAACTTGGTATTTAGATCCGTGTAATGTTAATTACGCAAAATGCTTCGCAACCCTAGGACGACCTTGTCGCCTCTTGTTTTTTTTTTTTTCCTGAGTCGACTATAAAATAAACGTGAGCGGAGGAGGTAACGAAGTTGTCACGGAAAGCAGCTCGAATGGGAAGGGAGAATGGCTGGGAGCGGGAAGTTAGTAGGCTGAGGTTCTGGAAGACGAGAACGGTACTGCTACTACAACTTGAAGCCGGTAAGTATTCTCAAGAAAATAAATAGAGGGAGACGAGCGACGCGTGGCAGCATTACCACCACCACCTCCTGCTTCGGCGTTGCCTCAAGTGACGAGGCACGTTGGTGGGATGAGCTGTTTGACACGTGGATGCCGTGTCATGACGAGTCACGACGATTTCGGTAAATGCTGCACACGTCGTCATGGCAGCCTGCTGGATGCTCAGAGCATGCTCAACGGCTTGGGATGATGGCCGCCGATCTCGACCTAAAACAGTCACGCCGTACACGGCGTTGTCTTGTCACAGCAGCGAGTGGATACGACGCGACGCGAATGGCAAGATGTACCACGCTGCACCGCTGAACCATCCTATCGCGAGCTGGACATGCATTGACTCCGCTAGGAACGGCGTTGACTTGCAGACGCTCGGCTGGCAAAGTCCCGAACATGCCTAGTTGGCGGACGTCCTTGGTTGCGGCGTGACTAAAATCAGGACATGCCTGCTCCTAGTGATGAACCGATAGCGTTGGGCTCGTGTTACCAGCGATGCTGGATGGATGGGTCCAATCCCTGCTTGCGTTTCAGTGATAAGTCATGACGGAATCACATGCTCGGACGGGAGACATGGCTGGCTTATTATGCGCGGCTGTGAACACCAAGGATCAAACAGTGCTTTGGTCTTGTGGCTCTTTATTGAGAACGTACATCCTCTTTATGACGTCCATGCAGCAGCACCACACATCCTGTGCTGGTTAATTTGTGCTTTCACAGAACCAATCTAAAGGCTAAAAGACACTAGATAAAAAATGAGCACAAGTAGGGTACAAAATGTGACTTCCCAAGGTACGCCTATAATTGACACACTAAAATGTATCCTGACAGACAACGTATGTCCAACGCTTGAGCTTTTGAGAGGCTTAGTATCTGGCCTGCAATCGTCCTGCTGGTTGGGGATGGGATAAATTAAGGTAATTCAAACTTTTCTCAGTCCCTCCAACTGCCACCAACTGATGCTCATCTAAACAAGCCTCTCAAGAAACCAACATTCAGGCTCGTGGGTTGCTCGAGAGACCTCCGCTGCTCCTCGCCCACTGGGCGCGAGCAATCTCCATGCTGAGGCTGACATTCTCGGAGCTCTCGAGCTCGCGGTCAATGCGCGCCGCCATGCGGTCCTCGTCCTGCCCGAGAAACTCCTCCTTCATGACGAGCAGCTCGCCGAGCACGCGGCTGATGGAGGGGCGCGAGGCGGTGGGCATGGCGGTGCAGCGCAGGGCGAGGCGGGCCATGCGCAGCACCAAGTCGTCCGGCGCCTCCAGCTGCGGGTCCCTCATCGCCGCTGCATCGCCGGCAGCCAGCAGCGGAGCCATCTGATTGAGGAGGGTGATGGGATTGCTTGGTGTGGTGAACTCGTACGACGTGGGTGAAATTATGTGAATGCTGTTCACCCTATGTGCCTTTGTTCACAATCTGGAGCAATGCTGGAACGTTTATCTGGGTTGTGCAATCAAATGGGGGGCAACAAATGCGAGAGGCAGAAGGTGGTGCTGAGTGAGGGGGAGGGAGCTCACCCACTGCTTGAAGTTGATCTGATCTGCATCCGCGTTGTAGATGGCCTTGCGCGCTGTGATGAGCGTCAGCATCACCACTCCAAAGCTGCGAGCGAGAGCAAGTACACAATCATTAGGCACAACAGCATGGCAAACTACAATGTCCAACCTGAGAGGTTTAGTGCACAGGTCTTGTTACGTAAACAAATTTATCTGATAGTACCTGTGCACGTCAGCCTTTGGCGTGGCCTTCTGTGACTTGTAGTAAGCCGGGTCCACATAGCCCGGTGTGCCCATCACCCGCGTGGCAATCACCGACGTGCCCTCGCCATGCCTCACCAGCCCAAAGTCCGCAACCTTGGGCTGCATGGGACAGATTTTTGAGCGGAATGATTCATATTGTTGATTTTCTCTGAAGAATAATGAGTACGGGAACATCACGTAATGGATCGCCGACAGCTGCAGTCGTGAAAAGAACAGAAGGTCACGACTAATAGTTGTTTCTGAAATGTGCTCACCTGCATGTTTTTGTCGAGCAGGATGTTGGCGGGCTTGATGTCGCGGTGCACGATGCCAAAGCTGTGGAGGTACTCAAGGCCGCGGGCCATGCCGATCAGAATGTCCAGCCGCTCCCGCACCGCCAGGGGGTGGGGGCTCCCTGCAGGCAGTCATGGGGCACAAAAACGTGCAGAAAGTTGTAAACATTTCAAAGGCGGACACTAAGCTGCATATGGATGATGGCCTATCAAGGTCGACTTGGCGAGGCATCGGCATCATGGTGGTGGTGGCCGCAAAGAGTAACGGCTCGCGAGATGCGATCCAGAGAGCCTATAAGGCAGGACAGTATGGCGGCAGTGAAGAGAGAATGGCTCACGGGGTCCGATCCAGCGGTCGAGGTCGCCGTTGTCGACGAATTCGTAGATGACGATCTGCTCCATGCGCTCCGTGTCTGGACTGATGTCGAAACAGTACCCCATCAGCCTCACCAGGTTTGGGTGGCTCTTCGTTGCCATCTCGTTCACCTGTGCGAAGGCGTGGGGAGGGGTGAGAGTGCGGGATGAGAGGAAGGGCATGGGATTTTCAAGTGGAAAGAGAGGGGCTAGAGGATGGACAGAGTGAACAGAAAAAGTACTGGAAATCTTGCTAGAACCTGCACAGAAAAGGTTAGCAATCTCGTGAAGTCGAGAGTGTGTGTGGAGCCCTCTCAGCGAGAGTGCATGCAGCGTACCTCGCGCTTGAAGTCGTTGGTCAGGACTTTGGCGCGTTTGACGGCCCAGATCTCATGGGGAGCGGTGGGGTTGGCGCCCTTGTACACATCCCCGAAGCTGCCGCTGCCAATGCGCTTCGCCTCCGCCCACTCGCCCGTCGCTGCCGCCACCTCCACCAGCGAATACTGCTGGCACACCAACGGACGTGCCTCTGCCCCCCCTGCCCCCACATTCCCCCCCGTTGCACCCACTGCTGCTGCGCCTCCTGCTGCAGCAACGGCTGCTGCGTGTGCTGCGGCTGCTTCTGCAGCGGAATGAGCAGCAGCGGCCTGCCACGGCCACCTCCACCCTCCTCCTGCTGCTCCTGCGCCTCCTGCCACAGCCCCTGCTGGTGCTGCTGATGCTTGCTTTCCATCTCCTGGTGTTGCGGTCTCTGCTGCTGTACCAGCTGCTGATGCTGCTGGTACTGCCAGTGCAACATCCCCTGCTGCTGCTTTTCCGCCACCACCACTGCTCTTTCTGAAGAACCACCATCCACCGCCACTCTCCACCACAGCAGCCTTCGCCTCTCCCCCCTCCTCCCTCTCCCCCTCACTGCCTCCTCCTTCCATCCTCTCCGCCTCCCCCTCTTCCTTGCTCTCCTTCTCGCGCCCCTCCTTCTCCCGTTTCTCCTTCACGCGGATGTAAGTCAGGTACACGATCAGCAGCAGCAGAGGCAAGACGATCACAGAGGCAACCACAATGCCCACGATGTCTTCTGAAGTTGCCACGTCGTTGAACGGGCTTCTCGTGGTTGCCACTGGGAAGAACAAATCAAAGAGGCGAAAGATTCACAACGATTTGTGATTTCCGGGACGTGAGTGCACGAGGTGAGATTGGCGGGGAGAGATTGGCGGGGAGAGATTGGCGGGGAGTACACAAGAGAGCATGCAGTCAAGAGAGCACGAAGGGCATCAGCCTGGAGGCTAACTCCTGAGGGGCCCCCAACGAGAGCAGCAGCATGCGGCATACAGACGTACTGTAGGAAGGGTTGCAAGTAGCACAGAAGCCCGGGCACAGGCGGCAGAATGGAGAATTGTAATATTGGTAAATCGCACAATCTCCCTCGTTGGGAGGACACGTGAAGTTATCCCAGTCGATGTTCCTGTCAGGGGATGATGTTGGAGTGCAAGTGTTCTGAGAAGGGGAGGGGAGGGTACTACCATTCCGAGACAGCTGGTGAAATGCTCTCAAGGCTAAGAAATGACAAGCCACTTGACTGAGTCATGCCAGCAGGGAACTCCATAGAGCACAATAAAGTCATAAACCTGTTCTTTTGCGAGCCGCCGCTCTTTTTCCCCACTTTCTCCCTTCCATACATTTCTCCCTCTCTCCTCTCGGCATTCCTCCCTTCCCCCATCTGCTCCTGTCCAATGCCCAATCTCTACACGTTTCAGTGCAGTTCTCACAGGCAGTTAAATTTTCCCAAGGTGGCGGGAAGGGTCCCGGACAGCTGGTTGGATTGCATTCGGCTGTGAGAGAATGAAGGGCAGAAGAGGGCATGGGGCATGGGGCATGGGGCATGGAAGCTTCAAGATGGGTGAAATTGAATGATGGATGAAAAGCAGTATGACAGCACGAATTTCCATCGGATGTTTCATAGGAGTTCCAAATGTACTTATAGAAGTAGTAGCTGCTGTAGGTGGGCCGGTAGCTTGATATGCGAGGAGGAATGCTGCCAGTGAGCTGATTCTGTGAGAGGTCACAGCAGGTACGACATGTGGAGTGGATAGACTAGGAAACTTGAGAGGACAGATGCGAACCTCGACTTGTTTTGTTCCTGGCCATCTCTTGTTGCTTTCTATCTTCACTTACGAAGCCTAGTCTGCATACGGTGATCTTTCCGCACCTGTCACTTTGATACGCCCACCTAAGATTTCGTAGTTCAACAAAAGTTGTCAAGACTGCGAAGGACGCAAGGCAAACCTGTGCTCCCTCCTTCCGCACGTTCTCCAGAGCATGCTTACAGGTAAGTGAGATTTGTGAGCTGCATAATCCCCCAAGGAATGCTGCCAAAGAGCTGATTTCTCGATAATTCACTACACACAGGATGTTGGGAGAAATGACAGGGCGGAAAGCAGGTGATAGAAGTTGATTAGCCTGTGAGATAAGTCAAAAAAAGACGTGCCGACTCACTGTTTCCTTAACGAGGTTGGGGTGGGCTTTAGTGGCGCCTCAAAGGACGAATGGACTTACATCTCTTTTAACGAGTTCAGAGTGGAGATGGAGTCCGGTATAGTCCCCATGAGCTTGTTGCTCGCCAGGGACCTGCCATGGCCGCACACAGCTGCAGAGAATCTCATTCCATAATGCGAGAAGGAACTGTGATGGAAGAGATATAGAGGCGCCCCAAAGGCACTTGTGGTAATATGCATGCACTGAGACGGGGCGGTGGTTGTGAGAGAGACGTACAGTTTGGTCATCGCAGTGAGCTTGCTGATGCTGTAGGGGATGCTGCAGCTGACAAGAGAGCGACTGCCGAGGTCCCTGAGAAAGGGATTCGCATGGTGGCAATCGAGTTTCCAGGCGCTTAAACAAGACTAGCATGACAGCAAGTGCCAAGAAATCGCGAATGCCATGTCATCTAGTCACGCCATGCCAAGCCATCCAGATCCATGATGGCTGCAGTGCAGTCAGGGAAACGTTGGGGGATGGGTGGGTAACTTTCAGGATCACTGTGAAACGAATAGCATGTGGCATGGAGGTCACGTGCGATGGGGCTGTGAGGCCGCCGCACGAGCAGAGCTTGGAAAGATAGGTGGATGTCGGCATGATTGATGCCATGGGGTCACTCACAGCGAGTTGACCATGCCGCGATAGTCGCAGAGAACGCCTTTCACGGAGCAGTAGGACGGGTTGAAGGAGTCTGTCAGGCCGCACGGCCTGAACTCCGCCATCACCCTGGCTGCGCATGCACCCGCAAGAGAATACAGACTCGGAGAAGTGTTCAATCGTGGCGCGCCCACAGCCCCCGGCATGCTCTTGGACGTGGTAACAGCCTCTCAGGGCATCCCGAAGATATTGTTGTGCTTTTGGACGTGGCAGCAGCCTCTACAAAATGTTCTACTATTCTCAAACATATGTCGATAGAAACTAATGAGCAGCCTGCTGCTGTTTAGCATAAAGAAAATGGGAGGGTCTCGTACTATGTACATAGATTCTGCAGCATCGTGTTTTATCTATAAAGCATTGTATTCACAATGTAGCAGAACCCATAGGTAAATAGTACGAGGGCCAAACAAGTTTTACGCCATGAGTCAACAGAAAGGAAGCGTAAAACGAGTATTGTTCATGTCAGCCTCCCGTCCAATCTTCGTTTAGGCTCCGATGTGCACTGCACAATACGGTCCAAGACAGCCCGTGGTACTGCAGCTGACGGGCATCAAACCTTGAGGGCATCGCACCTTGCGGGCACACCTTTTCTGGGTACCGCACCTTGGGTTTCGTCGTAGGCAGTTGCGTTGCAGGAGCACTTATAATGATCGTCGCACGAGCAGGGTAAGTATTGGAAATAACAGTCGGACTGCGCGTTGGTGGGTCGAGGGTGGTGATTTATACCGATAATGAGGAGCAGAATCGTTAGATTTTGGGGCTGATTTTCAGGAGCCGGGCCAAAAGTGTGAGACGGAGGCGGCGAATGAGACACGCCATGATGACCATCAAGATGCACTTAGGTGAGACAGCTGGGAAGGATCAGTTGAACAGACACGTTGAGGAGAGCAACTTGACTGGCGGCGAAGTCAGGAATGACTAGGAGCGGGCACTAATGACTGGTTCTTGATTGTGAAGTAAAGTTGTAGGAAGACTAATGACAAATGAACCGCCCCTCGCGTCCACTTGAGGAGTGTGATGTTGGGACATCAAATCTGAAAAGAGAACGGGAAGCGGTTTGGGTGGATGCAAGCAGGATCCCGCCATGATGGCGTCCACTCCTGTCTTTTCTCCTTGTGGCGAGATCGGACGGTTAAAGCTACTGCCAGCAGGGATGCGAATGGCATCGAGGCTCCACGTCATCTCGACTATGGAAGTCATTGACCGTGGAAGTAAAGGCATGGATGGCCCCGCATGGAGCGGCGTTGACTTGCAAAAGCCTGGCTGGCAAGATCTTGAAGATGTAAGGCTGGCGGATCTCGATTGAAGGCTCTCCGACTCTCTAGAAAAAGAAATGGGTCAGGACAGCGAGGTTAAAGGGATATGGACGAACCCGCGTACTCTATGAGCCTCCCTAGGCTGATCATTTCTTAGCATACGGGTAATCTAAAAGAGCAATATAGCGTAATCGAATTCTCATACCAGAATCACACACTGGCTTAACAAAAATAACAGAACATGCCCTCTCACATTACAACAAATAGTATTCCTCCATTGATGTGCATGGCAGCAGATAAGTCTATAATGCATACTTTCTTTGGCATCATTGTTAGGACAACTTTTCACAATCTAAAAGTCAAAGACTGTAAACAGAATGACAATGTAAGGTCTCAGATCATGAAAATGTATTTGGATTGTAGAGGCATAGCTTCGGAAGCATTAAATTAGATGATGGACGTACTAAAAGAGGGGCAAGAGCTGGGATAGAAGTTGCTGGCAACCGGATGTCAAACAACACTATCACCACGAGAGCACTTGGAGTGTTAGGGGCATGTGCATCAAAAGGGGATCTCATTGGATACAACTGAGATGGCAATCCAAATGGGCTCTAGGGGTTGCTAGAGAGCCCTCCACTGCTCTTTGCTCCCTGGGCACGCGCAATCTCCATGCTCAGGTTGACATCCGAGGAGAGCTCTAAGTCGCGGTCAATGCGAACCGCCATCCTGTCCTCGTCTTTCCCAAGAAACTCCTCCTTCATGACGAGCAGCTCGCCGAGCACGCGGCTGATGGAGGGGCGAGAGGCGGTGGGCATGGCGGTGCAGCGCAGGGCGAGGCGGGCCATGCGCAGCACCAAGTCGTCCGGCGCCTCCAGCTGCGGATCCCTCATCGCGCCCGCGTCTCCAGCGGCTAGCAGCGGAGCCACCTGAACGAGGCGGGCATTGGACGAACATTGTCATATGATAGGATGTTACAAAATATATAACTTGGCAGAAGTTTTAAATTAGTCATGGGAGAGAGTGTAGGAGTTGAAGAGAGGAGTCAGGGAGCTCACCCACTGCTTGAGGTTGATCTGATCAGCATCCGCATTGTAGATGGCCTTGCGAGCTGTGATGAGTGTCAGCATCACCACTCCAAAGCTGTGGGGGAATGCAAAGAGCAAATGAGTCATGAGACCAAGATGATGCAGTTGCTTACATAAGGTGGAGTTGTACCTATTGCAAAAACAGATTGCACTTATCTCCCATCATTACCTATGCACATCAGCCATGGGGGTGGCCTTCTGTGACTTGTAGTAAGCCGGGTCCACATAGCCCGGTGTGCCCATCACCCGCGTGGCAATCACTGACGTGCCCTCGCCATGCCTCACCAGCCCAAAGTCCGCAATCTTGGCCTGCAGGGGACAGAGCATAAGTTCATAGGTAAAACGGGTTGCTGACAATGCAACATCACTTTTTGAAGAATGGATACTCTGAGGTGCTCATTTCAATTCACACCTGCATGTTGGAGTCGAGCAGGATGTTGGCGGGCTTGATGTCGCGGTGCACGATGCCAAAGCTGTGGAGGTACTCAAGGCCGCGGGCCATGCCGATCAGAATGTCCAGCCGCTCCCGCACCGCCAGGGGGTGGGGGCTCCCTGCAGGCAGTCATGGGGCAGATGACAGTGTCATGCATGCAAGTCATAGCAAAAGTGGTTAAGTGCAGAAAAAACAACACAAATGAGAGCCGACAATAGCCGCATATGCGAGCTTTCTGCACGATGCCCCATGCACAAAAGCCTATGAAACTCGACTCGGCAAGGCTGGGCAATGAGGTGGCAGAGGCAGTGAAGGGCTCACGGGGTCCAATCCAGCGGTCGAGGTCGCCATTATCGACGAACTCGTAGATGACGATCTGCTCCATGCGCTCCGCCACCGGGTCATAGTCCATGCAGTACCCCAGCAGCCTCACCAGATTCGGATGGCTCTTTGTTGCCATCTCATTCACCTGCGCCGCGAAGGAGGAGGAACCAGGGGGGAGGGGTGGTGAGGGTGAGGGGTAAAATGGGACAGGTTGGATGCGGCAGGGAAGGATGAAGAGGCAGGGGGCAGATCAGGCGGGAGGAGTTGGTGGGGGCAGGGAGGGATGAAAAGGCATAGGATGGGGAGGGAGGGCGCAATTGAAGCAAACAAAATGTTACAGCCTGCACACGAGTTACGGTACGCTCACCAACAAATCAATCACTGAGATAAATAGTAAGCCTGTGACGTCGCGCTTGAAGTGGTTGGTGTGGACAGTCGGCACACGAGATGGGGTATCACGGCAGTGTGCAGCGTACCTCGCGCTTGAAGTCGTTGGTGAGGACCTTGGCGCGTTTGACGGCCCAGATCTCATGGGGAGCGGTGGGGTTGGCGCCCTTGTACACATCCCCGAAGCTGCCGCTGCCAATGCGCTTCGCCTCCGCCCACTCGCCCGTCGCTGCCGCCACCTCCGCCAGTGAATACTGCCGGCACACCATAGGCCGCGCCTCTGCTCCCCCCATACAACCCCCCGTTGCACCCACGCCTCCTGCTCCTCTTCCTGATGCAGCAACGGCTGCTGCGTGTGCTGCTGCAACCTCTGCGGCGGAAGGAGCAGCAGCTGCCTGCCAAGGCCACCTCCACCCTCCTCCTGCCCTTTCTGCTTTACCGGCTCCACTCGTCTCCACTGTCGCTGCTGCTGCTGCTGCTGTGCTGTCTGCCAATGGTGCTGATGCCACTTCCCCGGCTGCCTTTTCTCCTGCTGCTGGCAGTGCGGCATCCCCTCCTGCTGGCTTTTCTGCTCCACCACTGCTCTTTCTGAAGAACCACCATCCACTGCCACTCTCCACAGCAGCAGCCTTCGCCTCTCCCCCCTCCTCCCTCTCCCCCTCACTGCCTCCTCCTTCCATCCTCTCCGCCTCCCCCTCTTCCTTGCTCTCCTTCTCCCGCTTCTCCTTCTCCCTCTGCTCCTTAACACGGATGTAAGTCAGGTACACGACCAGCAGCAGCAGGGGCAAGAACACCGCAGAGGCCACCACAATGGCCACGATTTCTCCTGGAGTCATCTGCAGGCCATAGTAGATCTTGGCAGTTGACACTGCATATGGAGAGCAGGAAAAGGAAGTTGGGTGAGAGCAGGTAAGTGGTAACTTGCCCATGGGCAACCAATAACTTGGGTCACTTGGGTCACTTGGGTAAGACAGAAAGGGCGGGGCGACTCTAGCATGGGATGCGGATGCCAGCCAGCCATAATGCAGCGTGGCTGATATTTGACTGCGGTAGCTGAGGGATCAAAGGATAAGCATCCCATCGAATCGAAGCAGCATTCTGATTGCGCTTCTCAAGCGAACCCTCAAGGATCAGCCAGGCTGCCTCGTTCCATGAGGAACATCTGTGCTCTGTTTGCAAGAATTCTGTTTGAGTGTCGTTGCAAGAGTTCTGTTTGTTTCCACCGTCCCCTCTCCCCCGCCCACGAAAAAGAAGAAGACGCAGCAGAAGAAATCACAATAGAAAGCAGAGGAGAGTAGAGAGAGAGAGAGAGAGAGAGAGAGAGAGAGAGAGAGAGAGAGAGAGAGAGAGAGAGAGAGAGAGAGAGAGAGAGAGAGAGAGAGAGAGAGAGAGACATGGAACGTACTGCCGTAAGGGCTGCACGTGGAACAGAAGCCCGCGCATTTTTTACAAAAGGGCGTGTATGGATATTGCACCACCTCGCAACTGCCCTTGTTGGGAGGGCACACGAAGCTATCCCAGTCAATATTCCTGGAAGGTCATGGTAACGGTGGTATGGTGGGGTGGAGAACAGAGAGATTGTTTGGGAGCAAGGAATTTTGCAAATGCACGGTGGATGATAGCAGACGGGATGATTGCGTGTGGGGTGCAGGGTGGCCTTCCTAGTGATGGTGCATGTCCTGTGTGAATTCTGAATAACAATATCCTGTTAACAACTTTTTTCTGATTCCCGTATTGCAAAAAAAAGCAGGATTGTTGTTGTGCACGTGCTGCCCTTCTTTTCTATACCAACCTTGGTGTTGGCGCCCTTATTCTTTCCCCACCCCCCCCCCCCCCCCCCCCCCCCCCCCCCCTCCCCCTCTCCCCCCTTTTGTGCATATCCTTACACTTGTAAATATCGCGGTGCTCTTTCCCCCAAGAAGGGTGGTAGGGGCCCAGACAGTTGGTTGCCTTGCAGGTTGCTGGAAGAGTCATTGTGGAGAGGCGCACAATGGGGGTGCGAACAAGCATGGGGGAAAGGGAGGGGAAACAGAGTCAATGTCGATGGCAAAGACACGATTGTGTGTTTATTGCACAGATTCTGTGGTTAACAGCGGTGAATGGGAGATGGAAGCAGTGGCTGCAAGCTGGAGGGTAAAACATGATGTGATTTCACATGAATGTGAGAGGCGAGAGAGGGCAAAAAGTCATGCCAGCTCTAGATAGTTTCAGCGCCTAATCATAGTGATGCATTCTCGTTGTAAGCTCACAGATTATGGAGATTCGGGAGTCTTGAAAGCTCCGAGGGGATGCTGCCAGTGAGCTGATTGTGGGCCAGGCCACTGCACATGCAGCAACGGGGAATAGGAGGTCGTGCAGGAGACTTGCTTATGGAAAGCCGGGCAGTAAATTCTGGATGATAATATATGCGCTAGATGAAAGGCAGCATGCACGAGCAGAGGAAAGGTACGGTCGAGGGTTACACAAAAGGGAAAATGCCTTTTCAACATTAACGGATATCACCCTATCTTTGAGGGGCTCTTTGTGCCTGTTCTGTAATATGATGTTTTTGTAATGAGCTTGAGGCCTGCTTACAGATACTGAAGTCGCTTCAGCTGTGAAAGGCCTGACGGAATACTGCCAGTGAGCTGATTACCCCAGAGTTCACTGCATGCGCAGAAGTGAAATGAACAGCAGAGGTTCCGAGACGAACGGAGAAAGACATTTGAGGCAATGCAAAATACGGTCGCTTCACATGACATTGAGAACATTCAATCCCGACTCGGGATTACTACATGTCATGCGCATACGTGCACGCACTTCTGCTTCACATGACCTTGAAAATACTTCGGAGATCCGTACATCATGTGTGCATGAGTGCACAACAAAGACTCCTTGTACGCATCCACAAGGGCGGTGCAGTATCCTGTGGAATGAATGGTGCACGCAGTGCCACGGGACGTACAGTTTGGTTAGCTCCGTGAGCTTGGTGATGCCGTTTGGAATGGAGCAGCCGGTGAGAGAGCGATTGCCTAGGTCTCTGTGATGGTGGAAGACATAACGGCGAGCAAACGATTGAGAGGGCATAGAAATCACCCGACCATGATCATGCGTCCGGGCCATACCATTGCATGAGAACTTGAAGCAGTGACAACGAAGGGTTCGTTAGGAGGGACGAAGCGCAAGCGCACACGACTAGATGAAACAAAGGCTTCAATAACAGCGAAGCAGAGGCATCATGAGTTGGAAATTCTCAAGGTTGATACGGGCAAGCTCTTTATGAAGTGAGGTTCCGGAGCCTCTAGAAAAGAAAGTTGGGAATATACAGAGTGTTAATGAAGCCGTTTTTGTCGCAAGAGAGGCCACCAATGGAACAGTAGTTGGAGGTGCTGAAGAAGTCAATCAGGCCGCAGGAGACGGCGAGCTGCGCCATCACCATGGCTGGCGGCCGATGGTAGTACGGGGATGATGCCAACACATGATGAGCATGGGGACGGCGAGAGAAGGTCGTCTCGGATTTAGAAGAGGGTTCGGAACAGACGTAAGATTACGGATGAAAAACAGCAGTGGTGCACGGCGCTACTATGAAACATATTTAGAATTTAGGCTGCTGTAATTGGTTCCCGCATATTTGCAATCGCATCAGGGTGCTAAATTTGCCGCGTATCATGGCGATTAATAAAGAAAAAAAAGTACCGTTCATTTCATTGCAGGGTGGGCAGGAATAGTAGGAGCTGCAGGAGCCGCAGTATGACTGAGCGTTGGCGGGGAGATGAGCAGCGGCTCCGACCAAAACGATGAGTGTGATGGCGAGGCGACGACTGAGGCGCGCCATCATGTTGAGAGGAAATGTGCTGCGACGTATATCCAGGCTACCGCGAAGGTTGAGGATGGGAAACGACTACGAGTGAAACTTGGAAACGAGCAGAAACTGTCACGAACGTCTGAAATCAGAATCGCTGCCGATTCTTGAAGATTTCACCTTTATGTGTGAGTGGAATGGTAAGTCCGGGGGGTAGGAGGGGAGAGGAAGGGCGCTAGGCGAATGTGAGCAGGGCCTCAGATTGGTTTCGGGCTAGGCTGAAAGATCAGAGTTGGTACAAAATTCTATGCTGAAAAACAGAGAAATCAGCCTATTTTATGCCATTTTACACTACAAATGTAGTAAAAAATCATGTTTCTTCCCAAAAAAATGCTGAAAATTCAGCCTCAATTCTGAAAAAGGTCTGAAATCTCAGCCTTTTTTACCTAAATCAGCCTTTTTTCGCTGACTTCTGAGGCCATTATGTGAGTGCGGCTAGAGAGGGTTTGATTTGGGAGGAGATGGCTGGGGTCAGGCCTGTCGAAGTTCCTGGGGCCCCTACTTGAAGTCCCCAGCTCCTCCCTATCTGACCCTGTTTTGGCCGTAGCTGAGTGTTTTGGCGCCCTTAACGGTCACGGGCGCAAGCCAAAGTGAAAACTTGAAATCCGGGCTTGCACTTACACTATCTTAGCTAAGGGAAAGTTCTGCTGCTCCAAAGCTAACTTTGAGATATCACAAACACGGGATTGGCTAGAAAACGCCAAGGGGAAAAATTCCCTTGGCTCGCTCTCGTGCAACCTAAGGAGAAAGGGGGGAGGAGTAGGGGGGGGTGAGGCATAATTTCTTCGGGGGGGGGGTCCTAGAACCGGAAATCAAAACTTTTTGGGTAGGGAAGGCCTGATTGGAGCACTTAACGCATCCGGGGAAGGGTCGAACGAAGCACTTAGTGGCACGGGTGCAGGGCGATCCTAACACTTTATGCAGTCGAGCTGGAGCGAAAGTAGCCCGGAATTTCAGGGCATTAAGGGCATATGCCCGTCAATCAACAGGCCTGGCTGGGGTTCTTGTTGGGGTGGTTTGTTGGGAGCGCGCATTGATTTGGCATCTTACCCAACTGCTCTCATCGCTTGTCATTGCTGGCATGTGACAGCCAGCCTGTCCGTTGGTGAGAGTGCATTCCCTAACAGATGCCTGCGATTTGTGCCACCGAGGATGCGAAAGTCGACACGATGTGCAGAATTTGTGATTTCGGCAGGACGAATGACTTGACTGAAGGGAAAGCCCGATTGACTCAGAACGACCTGATACAACCTATCGCGATTCATGAAGGCTGCCATCTGGACATTCATTTCCAGTTATTTCTGGCGTAGATGGCCCCAATCTGTGCATTCCGCGCCACCGCATACAAGTAAAAGTTGTAGTGGAGCAGCAACACTGAATTGCGTAGAGTATGATGTCAATATAAACCTATAGATACTCCATACACAAACCCAAATGAAATAACATGTGAACTCAAAATATGCACCAATGCCTCTAGTTATTTACGTGGCATCAGCGCGCTAGACAAGCCAGGCCAGCATCCCGACACCACACCCACCGAGCATTAAACAGACCCTGTGTGCCTCTACACTGGAAGCTTCACACACTCCCCCCTGCTCAGCAGATCAACTAGAGGACAAGGCCTAATGAGAATTCTCAAAGGTGACTTCGACCTCGCTCTGCTCAGTGCAAATTTGCACCAGCAGCGCAAGCAAGGCCCCTACCTCGTCCATGATTCCTTACAGGGAGGCCCGGTGGTGCTGTGACAGCATCTCTGGGGAATCCTCACACGGCAGGCAGTAACTCGCTCACCACCACACTACTCCATTGTCATCTCATGAGTGCGTGTTCTGGCAACTCAGTTCTGAAGTGGTCTTTCCCCTGCTGTAGCCTCACCCTCCTCCTGCAACAGCTGCTGATTCAGCAGCTCCAGATCCTCGTCGATGCTCCTCTCAGGCTTACCGCTTGCAATCTTCTCATCCACTCTTGCTGCTCCTGAGGCACTCTTGGCCCCCCCTCCCACCTCGGCCTGCAGCGCTTCCAGGTTTTGGGCCACTTGGGACATGGAGGGGCGGGAGGCGGTGGGCATGGCGGTGCAGCTGATGGCGAGCTGCGCAAGGCGTGTGACAATGTCCTCCGGTGCTGCCATGCGCGAATCCCCGAGACTCGATGCCTTTCCTGCTGATAGGAGGTCTCTCGTCTGTGGCATTGGCCATGGGGGGAGGGGAAGGGGCGGGTGTGTAGGGAGGAGGAGGGTGGGCAGTGGGGGAAGAGTGGGGACGGGGGTGGATGGGTGGAGGGGAAGTTGGAAGAGGAAGCATCTGGTGAGCGCACCAGGACGATCTTTGGTAAGGAGCAGAGTGGAATGTAGAAAGGCGGCGTGTGAAGCAGCTACAATTAGTGCTTGGGTTGGGAGAAAGTAGGGACGGGGAACGGTGGGACGAGCAAGATGCACACAGAAGCACCCATGGGATGATGGACATGGGCTTGTAATGTTCATGCTTGTGGTGGCTTGCTCTGAGTTGACTCACCCAACGAGGTGCACACAAACACACACGCGCGCACGCACACGCACCCATTGGACAATGGTCGTGGGGTCGGGCTGATGATGCGCCGGCCCTGCGGGGTCATCATCGCCCTGCTTGGCGTCTATGATGATGGCTCCTCGCCCTGACAGCACCACCAGCATCAGCACGCCAAAGCTGCGCCCACAGCAGGCACCGGAGAGCATACAGAGACACAGAAATTCAGCAGTTAGAGTGAGACGCAAGTGGATTGTGAGAGGAGATGTGGCAAGGCGTGAAGCACGGGAGGCATGGAGAGGAAGGGAGATGAGATAACAAACGCTGAGACGGGACTCACGATTGGAGGTCACCAGGAGACACTTCTGTAGGCCAGACTGACAAGAACGCACATGTGCAATCCAGAGAAATGCGGACGCACATGCACATGCACATGCCCATGCACAAGCGGAGCGGCCACCTGTATACGTCCGTGGCAGTGGTGGTGTTGCGCGTTATGGTGTAAGCGGGGTCCACATAGCCCACCGTGCCCATCACTCTCGTGGAGGCCATGGTGTTGCCATCCCCCTCTCGCACCAGCCCAAAGTCTGCGATCTTGGGCTGACAGGCGAGGCAGGAGACAGCAGGTTACAGGAGAAGAGCAGGTTACAGGAGAAGAGCAGGTTACAGGAGAAGAGCAGGTTACAGGAGAAGAGCAGGTTACAGGAGAAGAGCAGGTTACAGGAGAAGAGCAGGTTACAGGAGAAGAGCAGGTTACAGGAGAAGAGCAGGTTACAGGAGAAGAGCAGGTTACAGGAGAAGAGCAGGTTACAGGAGAAGAGCAGGTTACAGGAGAAGAGCAGGTTACAGGAGAAGAGCAGGTTACAGGAGAAGAGCAGGTTACAGGAGAAGAGCAGGTTACAGGAGAAGAGCAGGTTACAGGAGAAGAGCAGGTTACAGGAGAAGAGCAGGTTACAGGAGAAGAGCAGGTTACAGGAGAAGAGCAGGTTACAGGAGAAGAGCAGGTTACAGGAGAAGAGCAGGTTACAGGAGAAGAGCAGGTTACAGGAGAAGAGCAGGTTACAGGAGAAGAGCAGGTTACAGGAGAAGAGCAGGTTACAGGAGAAGAGCAGGTTACAGGAGAAGAGCAGGTTACAGGAGAAGAGCAGGTTACAGGAGAAGAGCAGGTTACAGGAGAAGAGCAGGTTACAGGAGAAGAGCAGGTTACAGGAGAAGAGCAGGTTACAGGAGAAGAGCAGGTTACAGGAGAAGAGCAGGTTACAGGAGAAGAGCAGGTTACAGGAGAAGAGCAGGTTACAGGAGAAGAGCAGGTTACAGGAGAAGAGCAGGTTACAGGAGAAGAGCAGGTTACAGGGGAAGAGCAGGTTACAGGAGAAGAGCAGGTTACAGGAGAAGAGCAGGTTACAGGAGAAGAGCAGGTTACAGGGGAAGAGCAGGTTACAGGGGAAGAGCAGGTTACAGGCACCGCACCCGCCGTTGTTGTTAAGGACGAGCTTGGTGCTGGGTTTGCTGTGGATTGGCATAGTGAGGGAGGTGGATGGCCATGGCATGTGGGTACAGACGGCATTGCTGAATACAAGCAGCATGTGCATACTGGTGCGAATCTGCAGAATGGAAGTGAAATCGAGCATTGTTCAGCTGAAGCAGAAACACACAGTGCCTTGGCTTTCACGTACAACGTCTCACACGCACGGTGCACTGACTGACCTGCATGTGTTCATCGATGAGGATGTTGGCGGGCTTGATGTCGCGATGCACGATGCCAAAGCTGTGCAGATACTCCAGCCCGCGCGCTGCCCCTAATAGGATGTCCAGCCGCTGCTGCAGGGTGAGAGGCGTGGGCGCATCTGCAGGAAGGGGGGGAGAAGCAGAGAGGAAGGGGGAGACACATGACGAGAGGCGGATTGGCCGGGAGGGCAACTGAGAGGTAAACAAGAGTGCAAGAAGTGCACAGAAGTGCAGGAGCAGAGCAGGTGCTGTTTTCCTTGGTGGTGCGGCTCTCAGCACAGTACCTGGGCCCATCCAGCACTCAAGGTCCCCGTTGGGAATGAGCTCGTAGACCAGTACGTTATCCACGCGTGTGAGCACGTCGCCCCCCACTGCGAACCCCAGCAGCCGCACCAAGTTGGGATGGTGCTTCGTGGACATCTGGGTTACCTGTGGGGGTGACAGAGGGCAGGGCACGACACCACGAGCTCACTCGTTGCGCCGCATGGGAATTTGAGTCGCTTTTGAGAATTCTCAAAAGCTCACTCACTGCGCCACATGGAAATGCTCTTTGTTTGTTTGCACATGATTTCTCTTCTTCTGATAATTCTTATTTTTATCTGCACCATGTCATCACTCCACGTGGTACCTACCTTTCGCACCGGCATAAACGGATCAGAGGCTGCTCAACCCACTCTCTCTTCTGCAGCCCACACAGCTCAGCTCAAGCTCCTCAGACCTGCTAGCCACCCAACCGCCCTCTCCCATTCCTTCACTCCTCTAAACCCCCTCTCACCCAGTCCCTACTCCAAGCATCCACCCACGCACCTCTCGCTGGAAGTCGTTGGTGATCACTTTGGCGCGCTTGACAGCCCACAGCGTGGTGCCATCGAGGGGCGACACGCCCTTGTACACGTCTCCATAGCCCCCCGACCCCAGCAGGTTGGCCTCCGCCCAGTCCTCCGTAGCGCGGGTGACCATCTCAAGAGGGAGCTGCTGGAATGCTGTTGAGGAGCTGACTGTGACGCATGTCGCTGCAGCTGCAATGCAAACACAGGGGTGAGGTATAAGGATGGATGGTGGAATAGAGGACCTTTGAGGCGCCTGAAAGGGGGACTGCTGGACTGCCATGCGGGGATGCTGGACAGGAGCGAGACACACATGGCGCTGCAGCTGCACAGGGGCCAGGGCATGGATGGTGGGCGGGAGCACGGGAGGGAGGGCCTTTGTTTGAGGCGCCTCAAAGGGGAAACAGAGGAGAGACAGACTTGTAGTAGCAGGCTTGCTGCTGTGCGAGTATATGTGAAGGTGCACCAATCAAGCAGTGGCAATGGGGAGTAGAAGCAAGAGGTTTGAGTGTTGATACGTCTCGAAACCAGATGCAGCAGCAACGGAAGGAAGACAAACCTGCAAGAGTGGTCTTGTTGCGGCGTGCGCGTGCACGTGTTGTGAAGATCCACCAAGCTGCGGCAATGAGGAGCAGCAGCAGGAGGACTGCTGCCACCACAATGCCGATGATTGCACCCGTTGACAGACCGGATTGTTCTGTTGTGTTGGTGGCGTTGGTGCTGATGTTGGTGCTACCGTTGGTGCTGCTGTTGGTGCTACCGTTGGTGCTGCCGTTGGTGCTACTGTAGGTGCTACCGTTGGTGCTACCGTTGGTGCTGCCGTTGGTGCTGCCGTTGGTGCTGCCGTTGGTACTGCCGTTGGTGCTGCCGTTGGTGCTGCCGTCGGCGGTGGGGGGAGGAGCTGTTGGCACATGGATACACAGACAGACACATGCCCGCCGTACAACACATGCGTGATTCAGGCTCATGGTGGCAAAGATGCATGCATGCGCGCACACAACGCATGCATGCGCGCACACGCACACATACACGCATGCATGGGTGATAAGCACAGCAACCTCTGGAATGCCAACCAGGCATTGTACTCTAGGGCTTCATCCACGTTGCACTGATGACATTCTCCTGCATTTTACTGGCATTGACCCGCATTGACTGGCATTGACCCGCATTGACTGACATTGACCTGCATTGACTGGCGTTGACCTGCATTGACCTGCATGACTCACGTGGAGCAGCACCACTGGAATCAATAGAGCACGAGTAGCAGAAGGTGGGGCATTGACGACAGAATGAAGTGATGGGCTGCTGAGGGACCACGCAGGGGGAGGCGTCAGGAGGGCATACGAGTGATGTGTCGGTCACATTGCTGCTCAGTGGAGTGGGTGGTGGAAGGAGGGGCGGTTGGAAAGAGGGGGTTGACTTTTGAGGCGCCTCAAAAGCATAAAGAGGGCATACGAGTGATGTGTCGGTCACATTGCTGCTCAGTGGAGTGGGTGGAAAGAGGGGGGAGAGGGGTGGGGCGGTGTAGGTCGGTAAGAGGAGATTGACTGCTGGTTTGAGGCGCCTTAAAAGGTGTCAGGCTGGCATGTGAGTGACGCGTTGGACACTTGGCTGCTCAGAGAGTGGGTGGAAAAGAGGGACCGGTTGGAAGGAGGGCATTGAATTTTGAGGTGGCGCCTGACAAGGCGTCAGGAGGGCATGCGAGCGAGTGATGTGGTGGACATATCGTTGATAGTAGCAGCGTGCGGAAGGGAGGTGGTCGTTGAAGGGGAGGGAGGGGCGGTTGGTTGGGCGGGGTCAGTAAGAGGGGCTTGACTGCTGGTGTGAGGTGTTTTGGAAAGGCGTCAGAAGGGTATGCGAGTGAGTGATGTGTGTGTACGGAAGGAGGGGGCTGAGAGCGTGGTGAGAGTGGGATAATGAGGTCATGAAATGTGGTGAGTGGGAGGGTGCTTGGATGTGCGTGTGAGTGCATGTACAGGTGTGCTGTGAGCATGAGTGAGCAGTGGTTGGCAGAGGTTGCGTGCAATGAGAAGCCGCAGGTGCGGTGAGAAGGAAGGGGGGAGGGGGAGAGCAGAGCAGCAGCAGAGCTCATGGATTCTAATCTGCATTATGCAACGCAATGCAAGAAAACAACAGAGCAGGAAAACAAGAGGGCATGAGAGAAAAAGAAGAGAGCAAGGGAGCAAGAGAGCAATACAGCAAGGGAGCAAGAGAGCAATACAGCAAGGGAGCAAGAGAGCAATACAGCAAGGGAGCAAGAGAGCAAGGGGGCAGGAGAGCACTGACAGGTATGTGAGTTGCAGAAGGTTGCCTAGACCAGCAGGCAGGGTACCGGAGAACTTGTTGTAACTTAAGTCGCTGCATGGCAGGCGAGACAATGAAAATGACGACTAAGGTGGAAGTGATGGTGATGGTGGTGGTGATGGTATAATGATGGTGATGGTGATGGTGATGGCGACAATGATGATGATGGCAGCAACAGCGACGAGGCAGCCTCTTGCCAGGATTTTGCATGAGGGCAGCTAGTTTTTTCTAGGATTTTGCTAAAGCTCTCAAGAGGTGAAGCTGAATGGCAGAGGGGGAACGCACAGGTCCTTAAGGGTGGTCAAGAGTGAGACCCATGAGGGCACAGATCCTGTCATCTGGTTGTGTGCAAAGTTCCTGTGATGTGATGCGATGTGATGTGGTGCGATGTGATGTGGTGCGATGCGATGCGATGCGATGCGACGCGATGCGATGCGATGCGATGTGATGTGATGTGAGCCACGCAGATGAGAATGCAGGCCTGCAAGCATGAGGGCCCGAATGCAAGCAAGCATAAAAGTGTAGAGGGGAGGAGACGGGGGGGGCGCCAAAAGTATAGCAGCATCACCATGCATGGACGTAGCATGCGAGCAGGTGTGGTTAGCGAGCATGTGATGCCGAGCCTGGGTTAGGTGCTTTTCAGTTTTACGATGTCTTCAGACTGGTGCTTGCTTGTGTCGTGCCTCTTTTGAGTCGAATTGCAAGTGACTTGCTTGGTACGAAGCTAGTCCAGG